AGGTGGCTCGCCCAGGCCACCGTGTGCCCCAAAGCCCAAGAGCCCTCGCCCCTCCGCTCTCCAGGCCCCAGAGCTCCTCCTGCACAGCCTGGATTACGAATCGGGCAGCTGCCTGCACAGGGTGTGTGTCTGCACAGCGTCCTCCTCCGCAGCACCGCAGTGCTGCCCTGCTCTCCCACCCTGGAGTGGGGGTAGGCATCCTCCCAGGCAGAGCTGCACCTTTCTTTCCTGGAAAATTGGTGGTTTGGGTTTATCAGCATGAGATCCCACGGCCTGGGCTGGCCACCCCTCTCGGGAGTACCAGGGGGAGCACCGGGAAGGGCTCATTTTTCACGAATTTCTCCTGAGTTGAGAACAAGTTCCGGGCACAAGGACTAAGCCCTGAGCCCTGGCTCTGGAGGGCACTGTCTGGGGAAGCATTTGACAGGTTACTGCTACAGATCAAAGGCCCTGGCGAGACCAGAAAAGCCAGCCTGCCCGTTCGAAAGCCTAAAGCAAGCGAGGGGGACTGACCCCAGACAGAGGGGGCTCACCAAAGTCCATGAATTTGACATGCTCCTGCTGGGGCTTCTTCACCAGAATGGTCTTCTTCTTGGAAGCTTTGATCTGCTTCAGCAGGGCCCCTTGGACATCAGCTGCTGTGTAGGAAGTGGCTGATGGTAGCCAGGAGGAGAAAGGAGAAAGGCAAGAGTGAAGATGCAGGCTGACCCAGCCGTTTCCCTCTCCTGACCTCCCCACGATGCATCTGAACCATTCCTTTCCCTAGGAAAATGCTTCCAGGCACCAGCTTAGGGTGCACCTCCTCCCAGCTCTTCTCACAGCATCTGTTCATTTCGCTGGACAGAAGACACATCCCCAGCAAGTTTTAATCGGGTTCTTTCATGCTCCTTGCCACATGCTTGTTTCTCAGGCCAGCAGCCCCACTGGGAGTGCCTGCTCCCTCCTCAAGCAGATGGCGATGCCACAGTGAATCAGCACCGGGAAGGCTCTTACCTGGATCAAAGTGGGACTCCACAATGACACGGACAGCACTGCTCTGCCCCAGGTCTCGGACGCGGATGCTCTTAAAATCCTTCTTAACGTCAGAATTGCGGAAAAGCTCATCCAGCTAGTTGGTTGGAGGTGAAGGAGAAAGATAAACTGATTAATGGCGAGATCCTAGGACATAGGTCCTTTTAGTAAAAGATCTTGAGTCACAGCGAATCTCCTTGGTTTCAACCCACACGGGTTTGCATCCAAACCTTCGCAAGACACCCCACGGACACATGCAGAGAACAGGGCTCTGTTCTATAGGGTGATAATTTCAGATGGTCCCTCTTCTTTATGGTCTGAGTCAAAGGTAAGAACAGGATGCCGAAATAGCGCGGGGAAAGTGAGCTATCCCCATCGTACCCATGAAGAGCAGCGGAACAGAGCCAGACCAGAGACACCTTGCAGTTCATGCAGGGATTTTTCTATTGTGTGGCATCTAAGTCTTACTGATCTCTTCTAAAGCTGTGTAAACCTGCTTAGGCACTTTGGAAAAATCCCGTAAGGCCCCATTCTGCATCCTTAAGTACCTGACTGCCTTTTAAAACTTGGCTCTCAGGCACCGCAGGATTTGTCTGAAGTCACATGAAGGAGACTGATGGGCTTAGAGCAAGTCAGGGCTTTGCTAGCTATCTGCCCGGCCTCGTGTTGGACCAGCAGTCGCCCAGCTAGAGGCCACTGCTTCCTTCCCTCGGCCTCAAGGCAAAGACAGAAGAAAGGAATGAACTGACTAATGGCCCCACGGTATAACTTCCCCCTGGAAATTCAGGCATAGTGATCTCAGAGGGGTAAAGCAGCACATCACACCCATGGGCGTTCGCAGGTAAGCTGCAGAGGGATGATGGGTCCCTGCAGCACAGGGCCGTGGCAGGAGCTCTCGGCTCAGCCACAGATGGCCTCGGAGACAGAGGGCCTGTGCCATGCCTTCATTTCCCCCAGCCTGGGAAAACAGAAACCTTGTCTTCTCAGGGGGTGAATGGATGAGCCAGTGAATGAAGCCTTTGTGTGCATGTTTGCATCCTCAGATAGAAGCCACTGTCGTATTGGGAAATATTGCTATTGTGATACAGAGCTGCAGGAACCATATGGTCCATATGCCAGGCACACATCTGCTTATATGACTGTACCGAGGGCTTGCCAACTTCTAAGTGCAGCTTGGAACCAGCTCTAAATCTGTTAATCTCCTTGCAAAGATGCTTTGTATTTGCTGTGCCACACTGCAGGCTACAGTATAATGTTGCTACCCCACCCAGCGCTTCCTTGGCATAGCCATATGCACACATTGCCACGCAAAGTCCACCTACTCCCAGAGCTGGCAACGCAGGGAGGAGGGGGGGTTCTCCTTAGAAGTGGGAGGCTGGATTTACACAAGCAGCTTCCCAGGGTGTGTTGCTGAATTGGAGGAACAAAGGGGTTTTGGACACGTTTTTGTCTCAGGGCTTTTCATGCAGATAAGGACGCTTTGGGAAATCCAGGGTGTTGAGGCAGAACCTCTTGGCTGAACAGCCCCACCGCCAAGATCAAGCTGAAAAAGGATCAGTTTTGACCCAGCAGATAACAAAGGATGGAAGCCACTGACACAGCACGTGGTAGAGGCTAGTAACACATGTAGATTAAAAGGAGATCAAATTCACAGAGGCTACCGCTTAGACAGAACTGGTGCATCATCTCCTTTACACTCTTAAGTGCCCACCCCATAAAAGCACCGGCCCTGGTGATAAGCCACGTTCACTCCCAACTTTTGCAGGTTAAGCTTATCTCAAAACACCACCCCCACCCCCCCAAAAAAAAACCCAAAAAACCCCCATGGAGTGGATGCTCCTCCAAAGCACCCAACACATTTTGCAGAGAGGTCTCTGTGCTCCCATTTGACAGACAGCAATGACAGGCCACGGCCTCCCCAGAAGCTGTCACGAATGAGAAGGCAAAGCAGGAGGAAACCCAGAGCAGTTCCCATGGTGGGGACAACAGAGAGTGTCTCCAGTTCCAGAGGGTGGTGCTGGCACAGGGACTGCTAACACGCACCCGGGGAGCGCTGCTCAGAGAGCAGAGAGCGCTCGGTCCCTGCTTCAGCGGGGTGGCTGGAAGGACGCCCAGCAGGCAGGCAAACCTTCCTGCCCAGCGCTGGCACCTCGGAGGCCAAAGGGACACGAGCGAGCGAGCGTGCCCCAGGTTGGCTCCCCGTGGGAACCCAGACACTCAAACGGACAAGCCTGCTTACTAGCAGCAGCTCGGAGAACGCCTGCTCGCTTGAGAAGGGGAGGACCATGTTTGTGGAAGTGAACATTTGAGGTTTAGTCATCTGTCCACCACAGCACAGACAGTTGGGCAGGGTCCTCTCGTCTTTTGCCAAGGCCAGAAAAGCCCTAGGCAGACCCTAGATGAAGTGCAAAGAACTCACCGCGCTCTCAATGCTCCTGGCCGTCTCCCCAAAGAGCTCTGACTTGGGGTCAGCCATCTCCGGTGTGTAGAACAGCTCCTGGCCTTCCACCTCCTCCAAGATGAGGACGCCTTGGAAGACTTTGGTAGCTACGGAAGGGAGGGTAAACAAGACAAACGCCTTTAGTCGGCTTGTGGGCAGGTGACAGGCGTGGTGGCTGACAGCCGCAAGGAGCGTTCGAGTCCCTGGGTGGGGGGAGGAAAAGGGTGATGGCAGTGTGCGGGTAGTGCCAGTGTTGGGGTTAGTCTGGATGGGTCTGGGAGAGCGCCATGGAGGATTAGTATCAGAGGGTGCTGGAGCAGATGGTAAAGACCAGGCTGGAGATGGCAGCTTTTACCATACGGTTTCCTCTGAGCTCCGGCCCGGAGAGCAGCCCCCCTGCACCGGCTGAGTAACAAGAGAAAGACGTTAGCCAGAGCAGCACAGAGTCAATACGGCAGGATCAGACACGTGCATACACACAGGGGGCAGAGAAGGGTGAAATGTGGACTCTGGACAAGGAGAAGAGACCTGTGCTGGGAGAGGGAAGTACAGACCCTGCCAGCTAACAGCCTGTGGTCAGCCTTGCAAAACCAGACCGAAATTGCAACAGGAACCCAAGGTGTGGTTCCCCTTCCAGGGGAGCTGTAGGAGTGCAGAGGCAGCTACAGAAAGATCCTCGCTGCGGGTAACGCTACGGGAGGTTCCCCAGCAGCTGCCCTTTCGTGGGTTAAAAGGGGAACGTGGTGTCCAGAGGAAAAAGGGGATGTCCTGCTGGAAACCCCAAGGAACAGGGTCAGTTAAGAAGGACCTCAGTGAGCAGTGAGGAAACATGTGGGAACAGCCCCAGAGCAACCATTTTTAGGGTGACGACGTATGCACAGGGCAGCCAACACTCTGATCAAGCACGGGTAGCTCTGTGTTTCTTCAACATGGACAGTGTGAAAGAAGGGACTGTCAGGAGGCAAGACAGATCCCACCTAGGTCACGAGAGCAGTGCGCACCCCTGGGAACCACAGCGCGACTCAAGAAGCTCAGACCATCCCCCCCACTAGGAAAGCCCAGCAGGGATACCGGGGCTACAGCTGCTCTCCCTGCTTGTCCTGGCACCAAACTGGTCCTGGTCAGCCCAACTCCCTTTACAGCCATCGACACAGATAAAATGGGAGTCTAAGAAATTCTCTCATCCCCCTTTAGTGCCAGTCACGAGCTCTGCAGAAGCCTGGGTAAAACACTGGCCAAAGTTTTAAGGCTATAGCAGTCAAGGAAGAAGTGAAACAAACTGCAGAGTGTCCTGGCTCCCACCAAGGACTAGGGCTGGCTGCTGGGGGCTGTGGCAGGTGGGGACAACGTCTGTCAGCTATCGTGGCTCAACATGTCCCCATGAACATCACCTCAGGGACACGCCAGCCCCCAGACGAGACACAGGAACCGTGCTCACCGCCATCCGGGCAAGCCCAGCACCACTCTGGGCAGCTCTCAGTGGCATCCCTCCCTCTCCTGCACCTTGCCAAGAGCTCACCCTGACCCCTGACCACCGAAAGGAAGCCCAGAGCCCAGCCCCTCAAGGACAAACTCACCGGGACAGTTGCTGCCTTCCGCATCAGCAGCCGCAGTCTTGCCATCAGAGCAGCATCCCAGCGGGGTGTTGTAACACGTCGCCCTCTCGATGGCTGGGGTGGAAGTTACCTGGCTTTCCTCCACCTCCTCTTCCCCTGCAGGGCATTAAGAGGAGCATTCACCAGCAGGAGGTAAGACCTCACCTCTGTGTCAGAGAAGAAGGCTGAGGCACAGCTTAATTTCGCTGTGAGAGGAAGGATATGGTTTGACCCACAACCAACCTGCCAAGCCGAAGAAGCGCACACTCACCGGCAGAGCCTGCCCCACTAGATTCCTGGTCTCCACTGATGCCCATCTCTTGGTCTCCACTGCCTTCTGCACTGCCTGATTCAACGTAGGCGGGCTGGGTGGTGGCCAGGACCACCGGTGCGGTGGAGAGAGGGCGCACGGTGGCCTTAAACACCCCGTGGGTCATCCACGGTGTAGTGGCTGGTCTGGCAGTCGTGATGCGCCTTGTTGTAGGGTGACCTCTTTCAGTAGGCCTGGCTTCCAACAGCAGGGAGCTGGTAGCCAGCTCGGTGGGTTCTGGAGCCTGGGTGGTGAGCCGCAGCGGCGGAGGAAGGATTAACTTGTCCAAGGGCAGCGTGGGCAGCGGCGTGGGTGGCGAGGTGTGGCTTGTGTGAGTGATGGACTCTGAAAGGAGCAGCGAGACAATGAAGCGTCATGGCACAGCGAGGAACTGCAGAGGGAGGCAGCCAGACCCGGGTCCGAGAGCTGGCACTGCCCCAGCACCGAGAGCAGCAGACACTCACCGTGGCACTGCCCCACGTGCTTCACTGTGATGACCTGTCCCTGCCGGCAGGCGATGGTCTTCAGCTGGCACTGGTCCCCGTACGTGACGCCATCAGACCCACACACCTGGGAGGCAGAGAAGGAATGTGAGCTGCAGCTCTGTCCTCCTCCAAGCCCTGGGCAAAATAAACTGGTCTCTCCATGCTGGAAGCAAGAGGCTTTGCAGGGGTCCCTCTGAGGCTGCAGAAGCCCAGGAGCAGAGCAGCTCAGAGGTGCCAGACGGGGGACAGAGCACCCAGCTCTGCTGGGAGACGTCTGTAACTTGCACGTCACCCTTCCCCACGCACCGACGAGTGACCAAACTTGCCCGCCTGCTTCTTGTCGAGGAGGGAAAAAGACACCAGACTCCTGCGCTGCCTGCACCAGCCCGACGCAGCCAAGCTAGCCACACGCTCCCCTGCACGCCACCCAGCCCCCCCCACGGCTGCCTCTCCCGCAAACCTTGGTCATGTTGGCCTCCGAGCAAAGCGGGGATGGGCACTCGCAGTGGGCGAAGCCGTTGACTTCCACGCACGAGGCCCCAAACTCACAGTTCATTTCCTCGCAGGATTTCGGGGCTGACGGGTCTGGGGTAGGGAGAGAAGGGGGGAGAGATGACCAACAAAGCACATACCAAACATACAGAAACAGGCTATGCTGAATCAAAATCCCTCTCTCCTCCCAGCGGGTCTGAGCTCTCCCAGGGACTCGCCAGAGCCGTTCAGACCAGTGGACAAGACAGACTTTCACCAAACAGAGAAACAGTCCCTCGTGCTGTGCGTGAGTGCACAGATAACAGGAACCCAGCCAGGAATGGAGGCCAGGGCCCCTTTCCCCCCAAAGCACGGGCATGCAGGGTGGGAGGGAGTCATTTCTTTCACGGGCTTGTGTGTTGCCCTGCAGCAGTACCCAAGCACCCATTTCTCAGTGCCCCACGCAATCTCTCTGCTACGTGGCTCCCTCACCTTTCTCACAGCCAGTCATGCCCAGTTTGCTGCCATTGGGGCACTGGTTGCACTTCATACCAGTGATACCAGTCTTGCAGGAGCACAGTCCAGTCATCTGCTCGCAGTCGTCACGCACTGAACCCACCGGGTCGCAGTTACAGGCTGCCCAAGAAGGGGGGAAAAAAAAAAACCAAACAAAAAAAAGAAGACACTGTTTTGCTGATGGATTTGTGGAGCCGACAGCAGACTCACTCAGGTCCTCCAGCAATCCAAGGAAGAGCGAGGAGAAGGGTCCAGGGGAGGACCATAATGCTGCCTGCTACCTGCTACTGACCCCACACGAGCTGCAGGAACCCGCCCCCACCCGCCACCACCTGACCACTGTCCTACGGCTTGTGACCCCACATCTGCTCCACGGACACCCGCAGGGCCTATTCACGCTGAGCTCCAGCTGCCCTGCAGAACATCTGGCCGGGGAGCGGGCCCGCAGAAGGAGACACCGTCTCCTCGCCCAGCTGCACCCTGAGGGGAGCCAACGCATCTGTGCGACGCTCCGGCACAC